AAGCCACGCGAAATGAATTATGTCCCGTTCTGTGCACGAAGGAGATCGGGACTCGCGACGCTTTTTCTGCCTTATCCACGGATCTCTCGTACGATTTAGTCGAAACCAAAGAGCTTTGCTCGCTCGAAAGCGTCGCGACGTGAATTCCATTGGGAAGCTTAGCCAATGCTTCTTGACTATTTAGTCCGCACGGTGTTTTCTTTTGGTGGAACGGTGAAAAACTTTTGAAGGCTGCTTAACCGGGGCCGGAGAGATCTAGATTTACGGTGATTTATTACGAAAGTCAACCGAACAAAAACACTCGACGGCTAGGAAAGATCTTATTTTTATCGAAAAGTGGTCGAAAGTGATATTTACAGATGAATCTAATTTATTACTCTTTGCGCCCTGAAAGGGGTAGCTTCGTGTCGCCCGACAAAGACGAGAACAATTTTTCTGCTGGAACAGAAACGTCGATAAAACTGGTAGATAATTTTTTTCGAATCGATGGAATAACCTGAGCGGCTTTTAACGATTTAAAGCGATATACGGGTAGTTTGGTGCGCGTTGCGGCTACGCGCCTCGTTTTTCAGCATTAAGATCGTTAAAGTGTGCATTTTTCGAGGTGCAAATAAAGGGACGAAGGTGTTGGTGGCTCACGGCGTGAAAAAAAGCCGTGAAAAGGCGCGCGGTTGCAGGATTGTTCGACGTGTGATAAGTTTTTCCAATAATGGGACTATCGTCGTTCCTTGTTTTTCGTCGGCTACGCCCGCGGCAGCTTCGGCAATATCGTCGACAACGAGATCCGGCTTCGCCATCCGCGTCACCGATAAAAAAAATTACTACAGGTGCGATGCCAAAAAATGCCAACGAAACGCTAGTTAATAATAATAATTGTCGCAAACAGAAAATGTTACGAGTCGCCGACAATAATATTACCGGGGAGAATGAAAGGGCAGTTTCGATTTAACGCCGTTTCCAACGTCCATTTCTCATCTTCCGTGACGATATAAACGCCAGACGGGGATTAAACGAGCGCTTTTACGCCAGTCGTAAGTAGAGAAACTACAAATTGCACTCTGGACTTGGAACCCTTGGTGTTCTTCCGGCTTTTGAATAGAAATTGACGTATCGCGAACCTACGCTTAGGACACGCTCGCGATTCGAGTCTGGCGCCGCGGCAAAACCTCCAGTTGGCTTTGTCGAAGGACGCTGACCTGGCATCGCTCCATTGTTATGCTTGCATAGCCCACCTTTTGTAGGGTTGCCGGGAACATTAGGACGTTCAGGAAACCGCTTAACAGATGTCATTTTCCTGCTCGATTGATTTTCCAAATTCTCCCATCTTGGACTATCTAGTCAACTGTACGCGATACGTCCTACGACTATGTTCCAAACGAGAAATATGCAATGCTTATTGTATATCGAACTCGAATAAATAATATTGGTCGTTGCTCGCGCCTTTCAAGTTCCAAAGATTGACTTTCAAATTAAAGGACGTCTCGCGACACTCGTCGATATTCGAAAGCAATTAAACTTCTCCTTTTGAGCTTTTTGTTCAGCCGCTTTTTACGTCTTTATTCTTCTCCGCGGCTTTCTCCATTACTTATCGACGGGTTTTACGAAGAGTTCGTTTTGAAGCAGTCCTTACCCGTATCCCTCCCCGACTAATTCGGTCCATCGCGACAAGGTCGAGAATTCTATGCGTTTATACAACGGACCGTCTCCGTCTACATTTTTATCGGATCATCTTCTAATCTAATACGCGTCGAGCTCTTTTACCACACGCTTCGAAAGACTCTCTGTAGTTTTCTGTTACGTTTGTCTTTCGTAAAAATTCATGCGTATCGTTCTAAAAGCATTGGGTCGCGAAAACTTTAATTGCTCGCCGAATCGATCAGAGGGTAACAAATTTTTTTAACTTATTATCTTCGGTGAACGAGTAGATTCTGTTAAGAGCAATATCTTGTCGTGACATAGGTAGAGGAAAGGAAGGCTGAGCGAACGAGGAACTTCGCTGAACATCGTCGATGCTCGAGAGACGAGGATATCCGAGAGGGCATTATGCACGACCAACCACTCTGGTACACAATGCATAATCGTGTATACGATCTTGGAAGCATATGCGTATAAGTATGAAAAATACAGCAGACCCGAGCGAATATACAACGTTATCCGTGTAAAATAATCGATGCAGATTTTTAGAATATACAAACACCTACCGTGCAACGAGTACGAAATATAGAACTGGTTATCCAGGTAATTACCAATACGACGACAGCTTTGAAGAACTATTTCGCAACAAAAAAGAATCGTCCAAAGCACCGTTATGAAATTCAATTTATACTTTGTTTCAAACACTGTTTCGTTAGAACGTACTTTCTTCGACCGACCAGATCCCGTCCCCCTCTTTTTATTTTCATGTTGCCCGACCGCAGATCGTCGCGAGCTCGGATATTTAAAAAGTTCTCGAAATACCATCGGAAAAAGTGAAGTCGTGTTTACCCGGGAAGCTCTCCGAATTTTCAGCAACCGATTTGAAAGTCAATGGCTGGCATACTGTTACGGGGGATCCTTTAAAACGGATTAGAGTTGAAGCGCGTTCGGAAATTTCCGCTCGGAGTCGTCTCGACTACGCGCGAGCCACAGTCCCCGAATCTAAATACCAGCTTGATCCGTGTGATTTTCTTCCGAAGTGTGTCACACGAACGATCGCTGAAGCAATCGAAAGTAGGGCTGCCGCTATTTGTCGGATTGTTCCCTGTTTGAATATTCCAACGGCGAATACGATTCGGAAACTTTATGCGGTGTTCAAGAAGAGATTCGTAAATCAAGCGTCGAATTTCAAATTGCTGACAAAATACTCGCACGAATTTCCTGGCTGCCCCGACACCTTGCGTACAATTATATTTATAAACGTTGATAGCACGTAGAAAACGCTTCGCGCGTCTGTTCATTGCCGAAGCGAACAACCGTTGACGTCGGAGAATGAACATTTTCCATGTTGGTTAATCGCGACTCGACTCGAAAAGAATCAAAGATACAAAAGCATTCGATAACTCTATTCTCCGGGGTTATACGGGCGCGTCATCTCCCAAATGGATTTCGCCATTGTTGCCCGGGACTGTACGGCACGTTTTAGTTCCTCCCTCTTGTACCGAGTATCAGCCGAACCCCGAGACTCGGAATTGTCTCGAACTGTTGCAGCTTTCTTCGGGATCGTTACAGCCCATTAATTTCGAAATTTCCCAAGCGACAGGACCATAATTCGCATAAGAACGTGCTCGACGATTCCCAGGCCATCCCTGTCTTTCCGGTTTTTGTTTTATTCTAGTCCCCGTTCGAAATTTCCACGAGAGGAACATGCCCTCCCGTCCAGGGCCAGCTTAAATAGAACAGTCTTTAAACGGGAGGTCTGCGCTTCCAACAACGAGAACTTCCGGGGAGGATCCTTGGCTGCGCGGCTCGTACGAGCTTACATTTGACGAAAATGGTGCACTCTTCATTATGATTCATCGTTTCGCGGGACGAAGTAGATCAAAGGTGCGCGGAAGCTTCCAATCGTCAAATGGATTTCGGTGCAGCGACGGTCGATTATACGTACACTTCTGCTACCTTTCGCTTTTATTTCCGCGAGACACTCGAAGAACCATGTCATTCGTGCTTTGCTTTCCTTTTCGATATTATTCTCGACAGTGATCGATTTTCTTCCTTCGTTTCTCTTGCTGCACGTCTATTCGCGTTACGTGTTCAACTCGAAATCTATGTATCACGCCGACTCACATATTTTAGATACATATCAAAGGTTAACGTTAAATAATTTAGGATTTCGCCATAGAAATTTAATTACTTTCGTTCGCGTGATGTTTGAAAATATATTTCGTTAGAACCGTAGGGCCGCTCGGTGGAAATTGGAAAATACAAACAGGGAAAATGTCTTCAGGGATCGCAAAAAGCTCCGAAACGCGTAACGTAGCAATTTTATTTTCACGTGCGCGGCCGAGCGCGGGGCGTTTAAGAAACGTACTTTGTTTGCACACGCGATTCCTATCGAAATCGCGGATAGTTTTACGCGACAATAAACCGTTTCTCTCGTTTTAGTTTATTGTACCGCGGCACGAATAGAACCGGCGGTATCGAATTTTCGGTGTGGTTTTGCACGGTCCCATTAGATTGGTTTCGACGTTGCCGAGATAGCGCATCCTTTCGCATCGATCGCGCGCTGTATTTCAATCTTATCTCAAATTGCCAATTAAAGAGCGATTCGACCCATTGCAATCGCTCGAAAGCGCCACGTTTCTCCCTAACACTTTGTATACAAACGAGTCCTTCTATACGTTCTTGCGTTGATAATCAAAATTTTCAGTTTCAACTTTGGAGTTTCCCTCTCTTCCAAGTTGAATGAGAAAACTGTGAACGATCCGAACAACGTATAGATCGATTTTAATATCAGTATCCCCCGGAATACATAGATCGAGCTATCGCCAACAAGTTGACTCGATTATTTGTCGGTTTTATTTCGCGCACGAAAACGAAGACGATCAAAAATGAACTTGCCGGGGAAAGCATTTGGGGTAGGAGAATTGTATTTCCAGCATGATTTCGGGTGGTCGATGGTCCTCTCGTGAGAGAAAGACGGCGTAACAACCATCCTAACTTCTCGCTCATCGCGTATTCTAGTCAGCAGTTTCGGAAGAGCGAGTAACGTCCAATCCAAAGCTGAAACTGGGTCAACATTTGCTCGCCAATCTGAGAAAAGAACGAAATACGTCCGCAAGAACCGACCGTCTCCGCGATGTCGAACGAAACCCGACCAGATGGGCTTCTGCTGTCGATCCGGAAATTCGATATTTTCGATCTGTTTTAAAAACCGAGCCTCAAAACGGCCACTTATTTTCGTACAGAGTGAATGCTCTCTGATTCCATGTTTTCCGAAAATTATCCACGGTTCCGTTAATAGTTTCGATCGTCTTTTTCTTCGAAACACGATCGAAAACGTTGCGATATGGAAGTTGTGTCCGATGAGACTAGCATTATACGCGTTTTTCCATTTGTACGTGAATTATGCATCTCCTTGGACGGAGAACACGACGTTGCCAATTACAGCGTCGACGGCAGAGATCGCCGAGGTGAAAACGCCGAGAGAGGAGGTGGGGGAGATCGAACCCGTAGCAATGACGGTACAGGTTATGGATCCCAACATAAAAATAACCGACGTGCCCGACATGGACGAAGACACCGAGGCCTGGGACGCAAACTGGGACAAGAACAAGGCCATACGAGACGTCGCGTATTACATTCGAGCACACAAATTTCAGGACTTCGACCGACGTTATTACAGAAGGCTCGAGGATTCGCCAAGCAGATTTTACGAAGTATTCCCGAAACCACCTTTGAGGTCTTTGCATTGGGAAGTGCGCAGGTATTGGATCGACGTCGTGCTTGATTCGTGTGTTTTTGTAGCACGCCCCTGATTATTCGATAATTACACTGTTGATTCGTGTTCGATGATTTCCCAGTATAATTAGCAGGTTTCGTCAATGTTTTGACAAGGCACGAAACATGGCATTACCATAACAAAGCAAAATCTAATGTACATTTTATTCACGGGTCTTGGTTGCCCTTGAATTAGTTCGTTTCCAATAGACTGTTTACTATAGACTTTTAGGCGAACCATCTGTTTCGGTTTCAAGTGTTCTCGAATCATATCGTATTTATTTAGCAATTTAGTGGTAGATCTAATCTAAGTAAGAAGATCTGTTTCCCCGAAAGTTCATTTTCGTTCATCGTGGTTGCGCATTTAGCAGCCATTATTTATAACGCGAGACACAGAAATATTTGATAATTCAATGTACAGAATTAATTCTAAGCGAAAGTAGTATGTTGGATTCTGAATAGTATCGTGAACGATATTATCTGTCTCTTACAATGTCATATCTTTCAAGTTGTCAGAGTTGTTGTTCAGCATCGATATTCGCACGAAATTGTAATCGCCATTGATTCAGGCATTTTCCCGTTAATTTCGCTTTGTATTGTTCGCTGTCGATGCCTGTCAAACGGTTTCAATTGCCGCGGACACAGAAATCGCAAGAATTCTATTATCGACGAGGCGCGTTATTATGTGTAGACATTGCGATGCGAGCTTCATCGGGTGCCTGAAATATCTCGAAAGGACTATTAAGCTCACTGCCCTACGGCGAAAAGACGACACCATCACGATCATGAAAGAACAGAAATGGAATCTTGTGAACAATACCAAACAGCTCTTGTCCGTTCAAAGGGACTGTCAGATGGCCCAGAGGCGTGACAATCTAACCATGGTTCCCTTTCAAGGTCCAATAGGCAAGTGTCATGGCCTCCCTCGGGACCTTTCTAATAAAAAAGGGACGATTACGATCGGTCCCTGGGGGTTGTTTGCTCCCCTAAACAATTTTTCGACGTTCGATTAAAGTCTTATTTTTTCTTATTTATTATCGTTTTGGTATGACTTAGAACGATTCCAGTGGCGCACTACCGCGAGTTATTACATGTGTTGGTACACGATGCTCGGTGTGCCAGAGTTGAGCATTTTCGGAGAGTCTTGCGGCAATCACGCAAACTGCCAGATCGAATACGGAGCCGACAACGGGGATCCCCGAGCCGACGACACGAAGCCGTATGCCTGCGCGCTTTATAGTTTCTGCCCCGATCATTGTTGTCCCATGAGGCATATCCGGTACATCACGGATTGCTACCATACGCCGTTCAATCCTTGCTACGCTGGGAACTCTCCATGTGCGTACAAATCATCTTGCACCTATATCGTAAGAGGATTGCTACCGTTTCGGGACTGGATACCTCGACTAATTTCACTTCTAGGATATTGTGTTATTTTGCCCGTGTACCTCGTTATTGCAGTCATTAACGTTCTGGACGATGTGTACCTTATTAATTAATCCTCCTACGAGTTTCAAACATTCGCGTTCGATTTTAATACCGAGCATTACGCTTCGGTTGCATCGCCGGCGCTGTACAATTTTCCACGGAAATTCTTTCGCGCGCTCCGTGGATCGTTTTATTCTTTATTTTACGGAAGGATCCGGAAAATAATTAGTTTTACAGTTGGTATCGATGGCGATGTTTATTAAATCTCTGACCTAGTTTTTGCGGGGAAACTTTTTTATGGTTGCCTCGCGAATTACTAATGCAAATCTGTTTGTTTACCACGTATATAACAACATTGTTGAAACGCACTCGTCTTACGGATCCAAGGCTTCGCTGGCTGACCTATCGACTTTTTTGCAGCGCACAGAACATGCACGTTGGATCGGCAGGAGAATCAAGACTTTCTTAGTTTGATAGCCAATCGAATAAACATCAGCTGTTATTGTCGCGAAACTGGCTACGAATGGTCCTCCAGATTCGGTATTTGCGTCGACGTGAACGAGTGCACGCGAGGACAGCATGATTGCGTGTCAGAAAACGAAGTGTGCATCAATATGCCGGGAAGTTATCAGTGCGTTTGCAAATTCGGATACGTTTACGATCCACAACAGAGATCGTGCATCCTCAATTCTGCTATGGAAGAACTGTTCTCAGCGAGCAAGACCGAGGACAACGTCACGAAGACAAAGGCCATCATCGAGACGATCATGAAAACGATTACGCGGTCGACTGGTAATCGTCTCGCGAACGATCATGTTATTCTTCTTACGACAATTTTCACCGTCAATATTTTATAATTATTACTAATGAGAGAACGCTTTACTGCAACTATGTAATACAAAATACAAAATAACAGATGATAAGTGATATTTAATTCTAAGTAACACGAAAGGTAGATTGCTAGTCTATAATATTATGTATTAACTGTTTTAACTTGAGAAATAAATAAACAGAACAAGAAACATAAAAGTTTCCAATTCTCGTGCAGTCTGATGTAATTGGCCATATAAGGCCACTGGAACTCTCTACTTTTACAGTTGTATTTCATCGATATCTTTACTTAACGGATCTCGTCTTGAACACAAAGGCAACTCGGAACTGCTGACACAGTTTTTAAAATTATTACCACGTAGAACATCGATTATCGGAACGGACTTGTTTCCGCGTTAATTCCCATAATCGACGTTCGATTACTGTTCGTTGCAACAGGGGTCTGTCCGTAATATTACACGAAGCTGTGCTCATTACCCAAGAAAGCTGTTCCGTACTGGTAGAATAAAGGATTAGCGAGATCTGATATAACAAAGTTTGAAACACACGAAAGGAGCCTCCGTTTTCTGTTGACGCCATTTAATTAAAAGCGATAATTCAACCCCTCGTTAATGTTCAATTAGTAAGGAAGAGAAATTAGCGCTGTTTGCATGAATGGATTAACCATTGTTTACCGTCAACGTGTACACGATAACGCGTTCCGGTTCCGTAAACTGCATTATTGCCGGTTGGAAAGTGCCGGATACTTAGAGCGGAGCGCAACGTTGAAATTTGTATCCGTAACAATTCAAATTTTAATCTTGCCGCATAATAGTGCGATTCCATGTGTTTCGTACGCTATCGCGAATGGGCCATCTCGACGGTTATTTGCACTGCCAAGGGAAAAACGATGCTCTACCACGGTTCACGGTATTTAGTATAATAGGCGCGGATAGGAATGCTCCGAGGTAAACAAAAACCCTTAATGTATCTTCTGATTCATGAACATTCGCATTATACAAATCCTTCTGTAATCGATGTCAACCAACTTTTAACAAATACCTTCGTACAAAAATAATAAGCTTGTCGTAATAGTAATCGAAACACTAAAAAATTAAATATTATTAAATATTTTAAATAATTTTCGCCCTGCGAGCAGCGCGTCGCTGATATTGTATTATTAATTTTTGGCTCGTGGTCGCAAAAAGAATCGCTCCGACCGGTTTAATGTGTCTCGGGTAAAGTGTAATAAATTTTGTCAAGGCAAACATGTTGCAGAATATATCTTTTCGCTCATCCTGTAACGCGATTTAAATTTTGAAGAAACGATACGCGGTTAAAAAAGTCTACAACGTACGAATGAACTGTAATTGTTCTTGTATTAGCTCGAAGGAACTCCGAGAACGTTCTAGAGACGTACGGTTTGTCGCGATTAGAAAACCGGTCCGGAGATAGGGGGGTCGTGAATGGCGGATGTGCGGAAACACTAATGGTTCGGAAGAGCGATCTTTCAGCGGTGACTATTATATTTCGTTTTAACCATTGAGATTGTATTCCACGCTCGGGAAAAGATCGTGCGCCGTGCCGTGTGATAAAGTGATTTAACCCAGCGAGAGAGAGCACTTTAAGGAATTAGGTTGGCGTTGCGTAGACCGGGTATAAAGATGTCGTTACTTTTGTACGCTATTAGCTCTTTTCCGGCCTTTGAGCACTCGTGCCAAAAGCAGCTTAAGAAACGTCTAGCCATTTTATACGTAAACCGTTTTTCATTCGAGAATTCATCCGAAACCGAATCAAGGTGCTCGCTCGTTTTCGAGAAATTCACGAAACCCTTCGTTCTTCGTTTCAAACACGACGCAATACTTTCCCCCTTTTAACTATGCCTACAGTTTATTCTTCGAAAAATTCTTGAACTCGTGGGCAATTTGTTCCTTCCCGTCCCGCGCGGATCTGCCTTTAGAAAAAGATTTAATCTAAGTAAAGAGCTTTCCAGCTTCTTACAACTTGAATCTCACCCGACATTAGTTTTTTCTAAAAGCTCCTTTTTACGTGTAATCCACGGAACTTTTATGTATCCGTTTCTTTCGAATCGTTAAAAGTTTAATTATATTCCCCGACTTCCTCGACGAGTGGAAAGTTATTAAAGGAATTACCGTGGAATATGTTGTCATATAATCTCGATTTTATAAATACTCAATAGTATAGTATCAAGGTACAGACACGTGTTTGTAGACACATTCTACCTAATTTGTATGCATTAAATGAGTTTAAAACAAGAAACTTTCATATTTTGTTTGTTACGTGCAAGATGTAAAAACGGCCCAGGTTTTAAATATTAATGTGATCGAGGAGTAATTCTAACGATATAGCTGTAAAGCGTTTTAACTAATTTTAGCGTAAAATAATCCGTGTGTTACCTGCTCGATCATACGGAATTTCCGCTTCCGCATACATAATGACCCTGTTACACTTTTGACATAACTTTACGCACATGCTTGGTTGCACTTTCATAAATCATTTCTCGTATCGCTAATCGACTTTCATCTTTCACAATTTCATTTTGTTTATTGGATTATCTTTTCAACGTCCAATTTTCTCTTTTCCTCGCTATTAGTTCCATCAAAAATCGTTACGAATGATAAATTCTGTTTTCCCATTTTCACGCATATAATAATCCACAAAATTACTCCGCTTTTATTTTATCTTTAATAATTTAGTAATAACGTAAAAACTCTACTAGCCCCTGAATATTTTCGTCACTGACTGTATATGCCAGCAAGCGAACGCTTTGTCGGCGCAACGGGTCACACTTTCCATTCGACCTGAAAGCACTTACGTAATCGAAAGTAATACACGCCGGGAAACGCAGATCGCTTCCGTTAAATCAGAACGCGATCTGTTTCCAATTGTTTGCTATTACACAATCTGGTAATTGCACCTTCGCGCGGTTAGCATGCGACACCGGCGTATCGAGGTAATAATTTCTAAAAGTTTCCTTACAAAACATCTACACGCTGGGCAAATTTAAAATTCTAATCTTGCGTGCAACTCGGTGTGTCTCCATGCGTTGCTACATCGTCGTCTCATGCAATCCGCTACACTTGCATTAAGAAGAACGCGGAGTCGCTTTTTTATCAAGCTATGCACTTCTATTTCGTTCTTCCCTCACAACGGGGACGAGCTTCCTTTAACGAGCTTCCTTAATGAAAAATGTACACGACCGTGTAATGAAATGTTTAAACGTTCATCGTGGAACGTTTCAACCCTTCCTGGGATTAAGTAGTACGCTAACATAGAATATTAAATATCTTCTAATGCGTTGTGTTTTCAATAATTATAACTTGATACTTTTGCGCGTGGAACGATAAAAAGAATTACGTCATCAAAATGTGGTCTGGCACGGGGGATACAAATCTTTCTATGAATTTTGTTGCGTCTATCGAATTACTATGGTAATTATCAATCAGCAGAGACACGATAAAAATGAATCGATTTGTATTATTCGTATAAATTAATAGGAGCACATTCTACGCGCGTCTCTTCGAAAATTGTAGGCGGAATAGCAATGCGCATTGTTTCAACCCAGAACGCAATCACAGACAAATTGCAGCTAAAAATGTTCGTTCGCACACGGTCCTAAATCAATTGTTTCGCCTTTGTTGCAAATTAGCAGTACTCTGTACAGTCCGGTCACGATATTTTCTCTGTTACGTCGTTTGTTCGGAAATTCCGCGTTGCATCAAAATGATTATTAATTCACGATAATTTACCCGTGGTGAAGGAAATCCACAAAAACTCGTCGCTCATAGCTTTCGACGTTACTTCCGTGTTTGTAAATATCCCTAATGCCACGCGGACGTGTCACGTAATTTTTACATTACGCTCGCGCGTTTCGTAATCGGTAATGGTTCAAAATACCATTCTACATGTTCGTTCTTATTTACTGCAAGCCAGAGCGTTAATTCATAGTACACGAAATGCACTGACGCGTAATTATTATTTCTCTTCTATCGGTATGTTCGAGGCTTCTCTCTTGGCTGAGATGTTCGCGCCTATTCAATCTGTTCGTATAAAAATTCTCGACATCCCCTAGCCTTTGCAACCCACATTCTTTTCTGTAATGCCATACGTGCCGGTTATTACGAAAACGACCTATCACATATTTCCCGTTTCGAGACATTTAAACGTGTTTAAAATTTGCACTTGAGCATGATATGAAAATTTATAGATTAAAACGAGGGACCCTGTAGACTCGATAGGTCGTAGAGATTGAATTCAGGTTTCATCAAGCATCGCTTGAATAAATCGAACAAGCGTAGGTCGAAGTCGACCTCCTCACCTAACCTAAAAATGGAGAACACGGAAATAAGTTTCCACTTCAGGCTGAGAGTAGGCGAGCCGACATATTTAAAACATTTGTATTCGACTGGCTATTCGACGATATTTTTACATAATATAATTATGTTATTATTAATTACTCGTTGCTTCATTTCGTATTTCCTGCTTCCTCTATTTAAATCGTCGAGAAGCCAGAGCCCGAATTCTACCGTTTATTTCAACCGACGATTTTCTAATCTTGTTCGCTCGACGTTCGAAGAGCAGTGTTCTATTAAGTAGCAATCGATATCGACTTGGACCCACCATCGGAATTGCAAATCCAGAAACCGCTTACGGTAATTGCAACAGCGATCCTAGGACGAGTCGTACGCCAGGTAACGAACATCGTTCTATTCATAATCTGCCATGTGCGCGATCGGGAATTATTTCGCGCAATTAATAATAACGTCTGGTGCACGTTCGCGCGCGAAATTAGTTTGAAAAAAGCGTTGACGCCAATATCCCTAACTGCTAGCGATAACGCAGCGAACGAAAAAAATCAACGGTCCACGGTCCAAAACGCGTTGATATCGAAAAAGACGTCAGTCAAGCGAGCGCTACAACGGACTCGTGACGGGGAGTAAACATTGGCATGGATACAGAGATGGATATTGACGTTTCTTGATAACGAACGTCCATCAGAGCGTCGGCGCGTCTTCCGTGCCGGCGACTGCACGGTTTCTTTCGAATTGGGCCGATTTTGTATTCGTAAACAACGCGTGAACAGCTTGCTGCGTGGCGAAACATGCGCCCGCGGAAAATAATGCACATATTCATAGATGGTAATAAAACAAGAGGGGACGAGGAGAGGGGACACGACTGACGGGGGAGCGTTACGAGAAAATCGCGGGTAGGCAGGCCAGAAAGGTAAAAAAACTAGCTACCAGGCTACCGATATTCCTGCTTATAATTATTCAACCTCGCAATGACGATTCGCCTAGTACATATAGTAACGGTACCCGGCCAGTACGGCGTCGGGTACGGACCATTTTGTTGTTTAAATGCAAATTAATGATCGTTTCGTTATCCTGGGATTATTCCATGAGGATTGGCAAACAAATTTCGGCACGTGTCGTTTAATATTTATACGAAAGGAGTACCGTTGCCGTTGCCGACGCGAAACCTTCCATTAACGGCTCTTTTTGTCACGCGAGCAACATGCTTTGAACAATTTCGCGAGCCGCGATGCGCGATTCGTATCGAAACGTGAAAGGCTCCATCTGCCCGCGATTTAAAATAGAATCCCTGCTCAATTCTCTCTCCGTTTAGCCGAAATAAGCTTTGTTGCATTTAGACGAACTCAATGGACGCACTCGAATATTCATATTTTGAATATGGAACCGAGAGGGAAGAATCAGTGTATTACTCGAACCAGCCTGTTATTCAAACTAAATCGTAGGATTTTTACCGCGAGTTGCCGCGAAACGAAAACGCGATTAATCCAAATTTTAGACAGATTGTTTATAATCCTTCGAGACTCGCCGTTAGATACACGTTCGAGACGTAACATTCGAATTCTTCGTACGAAACAGCGAGCGCAGACAGCTGGATTTCATGGAAATTCTGCGTTGCTCGAGTCTTGGTAAGCGTACCGGTAGTCTCATTTACATGGAGATGTCCCGAACGTCTGTGAAGCGTCTGTGCACGATCAAGGACCGTCCGTTTCTCGTTCGTCGTCGTTGGTCGGACTGTAACAACGACCGCGACACATCGCATTAGAGGGAAACCTGTGGCGGGAACATCTTAAGCCCCACATTGAATTAAATCGTTATATGAAACGACTGTAGAGTGGCAGAGTTTACCGACACTGACACGCGGAGGATGTTGCTATAATTAATGCGGTCACACGAGAATGGTCTATTGACTCGAGAGACACTGACTCTTGAGAGAGATTCGAAACTTTCGAGACCGCGCAGATTCCGATCGCTTCGAACATTCTTCGACTCCAGACCCGAATGTCTTGATCGATCTTGAGCATCATCGACTACTAGTAACAATCAAACTTCCGGTTACGACTCTCGTGTTTGTTAGCTGATCTCGAGCATGGGCTACAAGTGTACCTAAAAAAAACTTGCTACGATTATTGCTCGTTAACCTCGATCTCGGAGGTAGCTAATACTGTATCCTTTTCGACGAAACTTTCCACGTTTCATCACAGTACTGATATTGATGTCGTGTAATTTAAATCTATTTATGGAGTCTGTACTTGTGTCATGGATCGTTGGTTATCAATTAACGGGCTCCTGTTACAGGTCACTAAACGTTAATCGTAACTGTTTTTTACAGTCGAGCCACTAAAAAACTGGATATATTACATTCAGCTCTGTTTAACGTAGTACGTCGGTGTTTTTAGTCTGTTGGCCTGAAACTGTTAGTTTCTGAATCTTCGGAATCAGAGTTGTCGAGTAAGAGAAAGCGGCTCTGAAGGAGCAGTTTGTTCGCGCGTCAGCGGAGCATCGACCTCGAATAATCAATTTCCTCCTTTTCGCCAGATACTCGTCCTATCGACTCGGTGGATCTAGGAGGTGGTGGAATGGTAAGGGGTTAGGCCGAGAGCATAACCGGCGGTAAGTGGGCTGCCGCGTGTACGGTGGTACTCCTTTCTTTTCGCATCGGTCAGTCGATCAACATGACTCTGAGCGACTGGTACGCGAACCGCGAGCTACTCGTAACGGGAGTCACCAGTGATGTGGGACGAGCTCTTCTCGACAAGATTCTACGTTCGTTCCCCGACGTGAAAGTCTACGCTGTGATTAGATCCCAGAACGATTTCAACAAAGACGAAAGGATCAAGAAGATTTTCCTCTCGACGCGGTATGATCACCCACTTTTTCCCCCATCAAACTACTTTCCTATTCGCTCGCTGCCCTCGAAACGTCCTTTCGTTCTATCGAACGTCAAAGACACGCTTCTTTCAACTATCGTGTGTTCAGTGAAATGGATTTCGTGCGACGTAATTACCCTAGAGCCTCGATCCAGTTTGATAACGATCCGAAGTAATAAAAATGCTAATACGGCTTCGATCACGGTTATAACGCGTTCCTTAATGTTTATACTTGTCGCTTCTAGGGTGTTTATTAGCAACAAGTTCCTCTTGCTTCAAACTTTAAAAGATTCATGTTTTAAATCGAATCCACGCGCGTGTACCGAAAGCTTTTCGCGCGAGTAAACAGATGTTGCGTGAAATTTGTCACAGGTCGTTTCGAGAAACGTTCAGAATTGCCCTTTAATCCTGTTGGACGAAAATTCGTTTCCGTTGGTGGTGTGCACGTATGTAAATTTGGTGGGAGTTTCAGATTCCCTCAAAGGCCTGTTTATTACGTGTATAATATCGGTAGTGCCGGAACGTGGCGCGGTAAATGATTTCAAAGCGCCCGTAAGTTTCCCGGGAAACTCGTGTGTTTGTTCGATTAATTATTACATACGGTCGTGATCAAAAGAACCGCATGATACTACGATACGTGTTCGTTCCTATTATTTGCTCTAAGCAGTCGTTAAATCATACGATAGAAATCAGAAAACGCTTTCTAAAGTTGCTTGTGCAATAAAATTACGCATAACGAGATCGTTGGATGCAATAAATTCGTGAAACGAAAAAAAGGAAAGTTTGCTGTGATTTAATACACGCGGAGCTTATTTTATTTTTAATTATGGCTCGCTAACGCTGTTCTCGTTATTTACATTTTATTGAAACTGTAGTACTTGTAAGTAAATGTAATTAGTGCAATTATCATCTTGTTGTTCTGCCTCTCTTCCCCCAGAGAAACATTTAGAAGCTTCGTTTGTAAGGTTGACTGCTCATTCTATTTTCAACACAGATTTACGTACAAGTGCTTGCGTAATAGAAGAAAATTCGAGTTCGAGTTACTGCGTGTCTAATGCGAATATAATCTTTTAAATAATGAGCAGGGTTATTTCCCCCTGATGAGTTCATCTACGTTTCTCTTCCATCTCGTTCTTCGTTGCAGAGAATATTGTACTGGCGTAATCAGCATTGCATATTACGTTACATATTCGTTAGACATCGTGTCTGAGTTTAATCAGCCATTCGTTGGATTGTGTGGTGTTCCATTCTAATCAAGGGTTCATTAGACGCAGCGGCGCGTGCGGATTAGCGTTTCATTAGAGATTCAGTGTTTGCGGCGGAATTCGTGTCAATTTATTTAGCCCTTTTGAATGTACGATCGAAAACGGATAAAATTATTCGTAACGCGGGAATTGAAACGAAATGTACCGGAACGAAGATACAGATGACTCTTGATTTACCGTGCTAAATGCCAGTGGCATTGAATCGTTACGCGGTCAAGTGATACGAAAATAAAGAGAATCGTAAAAAAATCCATCGCGAATTAATTACATTTCCTCGGCGACGCGTTAATCTCCCTCGAGGCACGGTTTCGCGAGCGGTACTTGGCCAAATAATTACCCATTTCCTCCGTAGCGAATTATCTCCCGGATAATCGTGCTATCCAAAAGGGTAAAAAGGAGACAGGAAGTCTGTTTATCTTGCGCGCAGAGTTAATACGTAATTTCTGCGAAGGTCATACGTTTCCATAATATACCGAAACGATAATTTAAACAATTCGTAGGTAATTTTGAATTCGAAATATAAGTGGAAACTTCCGTAATACGAAACATTTTCCTTTCTCTTCAACTTCGAGTTACCGTGATCCAACTTTCAACGAACAGCCTCGAATTAGCAATAGCCGATTTTAAAATTTAAGAATTCGAGGACTCGCTCAACTTGTACCGGTACGATCGTTTGCCGATACAAACAAATACTTTTCGAAAAGTTTTCCAAAAACCTCTTATCAAGCAAAAGTTTCGTCGATCGTCAGTCGGTGTGGTCATTTTAGGCAGAATGTATTGTTTAACCGATAATGTTACTCGAGCAACTCTCTGTCGAAAGGGCATCGCGTACGTATGCGTGAAAACGTATAAATTGAATTGCCGCGTTACGTGATCGTCCACCGTAACGATTCCGGGTTTCATCGTAAGACACGCGAGGCAAAACTCACTCGACCGCGATTACGAGGGGGGAGTATTTTCAACGGCAGGGAAATTTATTTTCATTAGCACGCTTTCCTCGCCGGCGTCCTTTCGGCGCGATTATAAAGCCGTCGGCGAGAGATCTTCCGTTTACAAGCTCAGCGAGAATTCGTCGACGCGCTTGAAATTTCGCGAAATTAAAATCCAACGGTTCTCAGAGAAATCTCTCTGCCGGTCTCGTCCCAACGATCGTAAGATACAACGTTATTAATGGAAAAGGTTCGATGCAAAGAGACGAACGAACGTGCAATTAGACTTACGGTGGAAAATTCCAATACAAAATTCAGCGCAAACTTCTGGGATGACCGAACAAATGCTTTCGAAAAAACGAGTATCAAATAGGAAAAAATTATATATGTATGGAATGTCATTCCGTTTCGCGTTCTTTGCATTGTATTTTGTGAACATGTCGAGTAGCTCTTGCGTGGCAAACTGTGTATGTAATAGTTAAAGCACGAACTGCAGCGAATGTATACATTTGCTAGAGAATGTACATATTTGCTTGCGGTTTTGGTGAAAGCGTACACTGAAACGTATAAAGCTCGCTATAATTAGGAAATCTGTGAAATTACTTGTAAATGTATGTATATGTTTCAAAATGCACGCCAGATGCCTGTAACAAGATTAGTGTACTACGTACGCAGTTGCACAGAAATTTATTTACTTTTATATGGGCTGTACGAAATAATTTTTTGGAATTTATTCGAAATGAAAATAATAACAGTTCGTTTATTATTTATCATAAATTAAGAAAATAGTATCGCTGCCACGTACATGGATATACTAGCTAATACGGTGCATGGACAAAATTCGATTCCCCTACAGGTTCGAAACTCGAGTTCAAAAGTTATCCGTTTCAGAGTCGGTTGGTCACCCCGATAAACTACCGATAGAATAGCAGACTGGTTATGATATCTGTGCATAGTTGCGCAATAATAGTGCCTTGGTAGTTAGGGGCGTGGATGAGTGCCCGTGACGTTGTTAGCCACCGTCGTTGCAAATGGCGTCAACGGATAGTTTGTCGCTGTTCGGCGAATCGAAGCAACGACGTATCGAATATGAAGAATTAATTAGTAGACGGCAGACGTCTAGAAATTTCGCAAATTAAATACGAGGATAGTTTAGAGCATATTAGAGACAGATTTGGCAGAACCTTGTCAACGATACAGGTCTTGGTGAATTTTGAACGTTCCTATCCAAGCGATACGAGTCGAGATCGCCGCGTATGTAATTCGCAGCGTTCACGAATTTGATACTTGAGTTGAAGCTGGCCACGGTCCAATTCGAGCGAACAACGAAATCTTCTATTCGTTTGCTACAGATTCGAGAGGCTGAGGCAGGAGCAGCCAACTGCGATTTCTCGCGTGAGGGCGTTGGAGGGTAATTTGATATACAATGGACTGGGCATGAGCAAGGAGGACAAGGAACTGTTGCTGAACGTCAGCGTGGTGTTTCACGCGGGCGGTCCGCACGACGCGGTGTTCGAGTTTTGCCAGACGCTGCCTCGTCTGGAGGCAGTGGCCGCCGTTTCGAGCATCTTCCGGCACAGGGGTCAAATCTCCGAGTCGTTGCAGAACGAACGCGTGCCCGACATACCGGTGGCTCTGGTACGAGTGCCACTGATCGGGCCACCGTATCGCGAACCTATGCCCGGCTTCGTCGACGTTTTGAAAGGATCGACAGCTTTCATGGTAGGGTCGGGCATCGCCCTGGGAAAGTCTGAGTTTCCAGCGGAAATCATTCCAATCGACCTGACGGTCAACACCCTCATCGCCGTTGCATGGGAACGAGGCATCGGGTAAGCACGTATTCCTCTCCACTCTGTGATCGAACTCTCTCTGTCTCTTGCCACGCGCGTTTATACCTCTCTGGTAAGTAAGCGTATATGGTTCATAAAAAAAAACGCCCTAACTACGAGTCTAACGCTAGGTTGATTACAAAGGCAGTCGGGCAATCTAAAGTGTTTAAGAATTTAACGCGAAACGATTAAGGAGTCGCGCGTACATTGCGAGTCTTGGCATGCATAGGCATTACGTTTTCTGCTGGTAAAAGCATAAAGCTTTGCAATTAAAGTTTACGTTGAACGAACGCGGTTTCGTTTCACGAGAGTATTCGAATCTCTTTTGAGCGGACTGGCTGAAGGTAGCAATTCGAGCGCGCAACGTTTGGGGCATCGAGGAGCAGCGGTGGAAAGTCGCATTAAGGCGGTTTACCGGTTCAAATAGCCTCGAATATCGTTCTACGAGGTATTACGCATGAAAACTGATGCCATTCTGCAGATTATGTGGTAACAGAGGAAGATAAAGCGTGTTTATAGTTATGCATTCGACCTTTTACGAAAAAGCTTGAATTTCGTCCACCCATTTAGATTACGTCTTACAAAACACCAGCGATTTTTACTTCGAAAACATGAATCGATGCACAATTGTCCAAAGAATAAGGGATTCGAAACGATCATGCCGATATTGCAACGGGAAAATTAAAAATGAGTAAAAGGGTACCCTAGAACGCGATTATTGGCAAAAGGGTCGAAAGTGGTCCGCGCGTAATTACTTAGAATTACTCGTTGGTCCGTTGTACGATGATCCAGAAAAGAAATCCAGCCGTCGCAGAGGCTGCTCCCGCGAAAAAAAGTAAATGCAAATTGTTTCGTTCGTGCGGCAGAGCATTTGAAATGTATGACCTGTTTTATGCCTGGGTAAAACGGAAGCCGACAATAATATGGCGGTAATAATGAAAGAACGAATCGTTGTTCCGCTGCTTTGCGTCAGCGACAGGTCCGTTTTTCAAAGGACCACTGTGACAGGAGGTAGAATATAACGGCCGCGGTTTAATCCTCCGCATCGGAATGGAGTTTTAAATTCGTCACGTTCGTGTTGGAAAGCATACCCTTTAAGCGGCCGGGACTTTCATTCACGTCAACGACGAAACGATCGAACGATACGCACGACATGCTTTATCGAATTCCTAGTAATACCTTCGCGTTTCTACCTATTCTTCCGCGGTGAAATTTACACCCCCTGATATGCAAAAATTTTAATAACGAGATCCAACGAATTTCAACGCAGTTTCAATTTTACAGACTTATGGTCCTCTTTCTGTCGTAGGAAAAACGTACAGAGAACGATGGTGTATAACGCAGCACCGATCGGATGCACGTGGAACGACCTGGTTAAGAAAGGAGCGCGAGGCAACCGACATTTTACATACCCGACTTTTGGATTTCGCGGAATGACGTCCGTAGCAGCCTTGTATTGGGTTCTGGTGCTTATTTTCGAATGGTTGCCATCCGCACTCTGCGACACGTTTCTCGGTCTATTCGGAGCGAAAAAAAGGTATAACGAACTAGAGATCTAAGATATCCGTGTCGCCAACAACCTTAGAAATTGTAAAATTCAACGATCGACACCGATTTTAGGGAACGATGCAAATTTTTAGATGCCTCGATTCTATCGCCACGACCGATTCTAATTCGCGATTCTCCAGCTAATTTTCAAAGCTCCGCGAGGCTATCCGAAAGCAATTCTCGGTGAAAGAATTCACGTGGGCGGGAGAGCCGAGTTATCCGAGGCGAGCCAGCGTTGGGAGGGGAAAATCTGCGGGCCAAGTTCGCGGAAAGAACCATCGAAGAAGATTTTCAGAAAAGTTTGATCACAGTGTTCGCGGAGGCGCATAGAATGCACTTCGCGGAAGCCGACGCGACGCTGAAACGGGCCGCGGCACACTTGGCAAATGCGATGCAATCGTAAAAAAGTAAAAGTTATCTCAAACTACGATTTAGCCGAATACCAGAGTAAACACGCTTCCCGCGGCACTCGACCAGACAGACGGAGAAAGGAAAAGAACGCCGAAGGCCGAGGAGAGGAGAAGCAAAACGACCAACAGCCGAAAAGAAACTCGTTTTCCCCACGGGAGACTCGCGGATTCGTTTTCCTATTGCTTTTAAAAATCGCAACTTCTGTTCAGCGACGAGGAAACTTCACAAAAAATCTTGACGGCTGCCTCTCATTGAAATACGTTTCACCGACGGTCCGCGCGCGATTATAACTTTTCCCTTCACGCGATTCTTGGAGCAGCCGGCGATTCGCGCGCAAACTAAGAGAACAGGCCATTTTTACCAGGACCGTCCATTTCGTCTCTTACATTGCACGCTTTTCCTATTTCCCTTGAAATTATTTAATGGCGGGGCGCTAAAACTTCATAAAGAACGAGTTACTCGCGTAATGCAGATTTTGTCTGAGAATCTACGGTGTAGCCGGTATCGCACTTTGGGTCTCGTCCCCCAGAGAATTGCTAAATAAAAAATAGACGAGAAGAAAGACATACGAGACGATCAAGTATTCTTGGTGTCACGAAGAATCGTTCAAATTCCCTTCCTTTGCGATTCAAAAAGGTGAAAAGGCTGCTTGTGTTGTTCACATTACTTATGTAGGAATAGTAGTTCCAAACGGAAACACAGCGCGTGAAGAATTCAACGACAGATATTTTTCCATTAGTTTGTTCTTCAACTTTCGCTCTATCGTCTGATGCAGTACGTTAACGATCGTGCTCTCGATGGAGCAATCGCAATGTTATATTAGTATTTTAACAGGATACGTGCGGAGTTTTAAACAAATATTTCCTAGCAAATTCAGTTTCGTATTCCTTCGGAAAATTGTAAATCCGTTGAAGTTCACCGAGGTTGCGCACACAACTTCCTCGCCTTTCCTAGTTGGAAAAGTCAAACGTCACTCGATAACTTACGCAATTACGTTCCGCGCTCGAGAAGGAATATTTAATACGTCGCATCGTATCGACCTATGCATTTTTTTACGTACTCGTTGTTTATAACATGCAAAGCCATTTACGCGTCGACGCGAAAAAGTTACCGTATCGCGATGTAAATTATAAAATGAACTTTGTTATTTCCTTGTACATTACCGATTTTTTCGTCCAGATCTAATAACTTTCGATACCGGTTTACCGTGTACCGTAACGACAATGTCAACGAGAGACCTTTTCTCCTATTTTATGAAATTAAAAGAGAATAATTGAAAATACGAAGGGAAAGTCTCCAGAGAAACGCGAGAGTCTCGCTAACGAAGTCTAGAAGATTAAATTCCAAATGATCGCAACTCAATGACCGCAATTTCCCTGGACTTTCGAGCGACGTCTCGTTTCACCTGTCGAGAGTTAACGTCTCGTGGCCATGGTGGACGTTCGCGAGATAAATTAAAAACAAAAGGGGTAGGGGGTGAAATAATTTCCGCGTAATACGTAATCGATGGAGAAGCAGAATCGACCGGGGAAAAGCGCGCTCAAAAGAAATAGATGCGAATCGGAAAGTTGGGAGTAACAGAAGCTCCGAGCAAGTGAGGCATTAGGGCTGCGAACGGCCGAGGGGAGGAAAGACTGAGTCGCGGTGGTAAAAACCTTTGCTTCTCCGCAGGCTTCTACGAGAGCACGAGAGAGTTCGTAATGCACTTCGATCCCTTGAGTCAATTTCATCGAGGCCGTGGTCAGCAGAGAGGAATCGTGTGCACCTGCTCCAACGACGTCTCTCCCCAGAAGACCAAGATGCATTTCCGGTTACCGCGGAAATCGACATCGAGAGTTACATTCTCTGCACGGCCGCTGCCACCAAGAAGTATTGCACCGACGAAACCAACGTCAAACTCGTAAGAATATTTCGACAGCTTTTCTTCTTCGTCGTTGCGGCTGCCCTTCTCTACGTTTACTACTCCTATAGGCATCACGCGCCCGTTAAACAACGCGGACTCTAAGTCGGTATTGTTTATTCATACCTTTACACGTTAAGAGTCATGAACTATGAACTTATCGTCCTGCAAGATAATATACAGTACATATTCGCGAATATAGAAATGCTCTTCTTCGACATCGGATCTTTGCACGCGTTTGAAAACGCTCAATTGGAAGGCAAGAAGAGAAAGATATTGTAATTAGAGAGATAAAGTTGCCTTCCGTATCTCCATTGTTGGGTTTAAAGACTCGTACATGTTCCTGAATATTATTAGACTGTGTATATATTTTGCATCGCACGATTCGTACCATATTTTTTTATTGTTCGAATGAGTTTGTGTGTATGAGCGAAAGAGGATTTTTGTAAGTCTAGTAATATAAAGTATAGTAATATAAAGAAACGCAAATAATAGTTATAGATAAATCCACAAAACTAACGGAAGTCCGATTATTTTTCCTTCCCTCGTTTTAATTCAAACCCTACTGCAAATGTAAGCGTACAATAACACTAGGATCTAACGAGTTAATTTGAATGCTGCTCTTGCCGAGCACGGTCAACGGTATTGCTCAAACTGCTGGTCGAATAATTGGAGGAAAAGTTCGCATAAGGAGAGAAAGCAGAAACGCCGTTTCATTTTCTTTCTTTCTGTTTCTCCTTTCCTCTATCAATTATACATTTTAAAAAGAAGATTAAAACGCGCTGCTTTAATTCGTTCCGGTTGACCAATAAGTCGATCCACCATTCGAGCAAGAAGAATAATCAAGAATGAAAATGTAGAACAAGATACTATTTCGAGAGAGACTACAATTACTGGAATTTCAGGATGGGAGTTAGGCGATTCCAAAAATTCCCGGTAGTAATACAAAAGGTCGTACGGAAACATATTTGTCGAATACATCGATATTCAAAGTATCGAATGTATAAATATGACTGCAGTCGAGCGGAGTGCATGGCAAATATTCGTGAGAATCGTGCAAGCCGCCTATACACGAGAGAATGCTATTCTGGTGAAAGTTTGTCGGAGTACATCCACTTGCCTTCGCACAGAACCAAGGAACACATATCTCTCGCGTGTTTCTCCTTACGTAACGCGTCGCATCGAGCTGCGTTTATCGAACCCGGCGATCCGATCTGTCTACAAAACTGCCAAACGAACTGTCATGGCTTGGCAAATGAGCTTCGAACGCTCTCGATGGAAATATCGATGACTTTGCGACACCCGGAAAAGCCTGCTTCGCGATCTTTCGCCTTTGACAGCATTTACCTTTTTCATGCCGCTGCTACGAAAGTTCCAGCGTCGCGATATGGAACAGAAAGTACTTCTTCCGTCTCGATTATTATTAAACGCCAGAAATAGAATTCTTCTAAAAACCGTTTCGACGATTGAAACCGTAACTCTCGTGAAATAATCGAGGTATTTTATTCGAGTCTCTAATTGTCACGTTTTACATTATATTAACTGGGAAAAAGGTTCGCTTTCCCGGAGTCTCGATACGATCGGGTACTGTATAATCGTGCAACGGTACATATTAATCATACAAGATGGCAGCCCTTAATATTCCCATCAACGTAAGGAAGAAGCAATAACCCGGGTGGTTCCGCGCACCCCCTTCCCCCAACAGAAACTTGGTTTGCGTGACTGCATATAGCGGAGGGCGCGGCAGTGAGTTATGCTTTTAAAATCCTGTTACCAGTTGCGAGCGCGAAATTTAACAAAGAAACTTACAGATTAGTTCCACGAGATATAATTGGACGTGGTGGCAGGAACTGTGGCTCTGTAATAATAATTGGGGGACGTCTGTTCCACGGAACGAACTTTCGCGAGCCGGGGCTGGCTGCGTAACAGAGGAACGGAGAACAGCGCGGGACAAAGAGAAGGTGTTGGGGCTTGTGGTAATCGTGAGATCTTCAAACCTTTGGTGAGCTTGCACGTCAAGTGCCGACTTTGCTCAAAGAACCAGCGTTGCACGTTGTGTGCTGCCAAAGTTCGAATGATGCGTCCAAATTACGTCTGTCGTACGTCGTACATCTTACGTCTAGTGTACCTCTCCTTAAAATTACAAAATGCGGTGGCTTAAATGTAACTTGAAATGTTAGCCGCCAGCCAATCAGAAAATTTCCCTGTTACTTCTTATTTTTGCATCCAAGACGGTGGTCGGCACGTCTCAGGTACCGGTGGAGAACACTGACCCAACGATGATGTCAGGTCGCGCGGTCACTTACTTCATTAGTCTCGTTAATGGCTTTAGGGCCACATTGCCTTAAGGGCACTAACGATATAACTTTACAATATCGAAGTTTGTATTATACGCTAAACAGAAGGAGACCAAGATACCGAGAGGAATAAAGAAAACGAGGGGTAGAGAATGACGAGGGAGACGAATGATCAAAAGGTACGAAAAGCTTGAAAGAGAGAAACGACGGAATGAAAGGGACGCGGATGAAAGTACGTATTCAATTTCATTGCAACTGGAATGAATAAGATGTATATATATATTTACGTATACGAATTGCCTCTCCGGAAAAGTGGTTTACACTGGCTCGCTTGCCACGACAAAATCACATATTTCAGCAAAAGAACATCAAAGCAGCCCCGGCCAATCCATTCAGCCCGCTTTATTTACATAGAAATATTTTAGCGAGCGTGGCGAGGGTTAAGTGCGTCCGTTTTCTCGAATCATGAGCACCCTGTCGATCAACTTGCCCCGCGTTTCCCGGATCGACGCGCCGCTTATTCAATTTCTCTCTCACGGGCTTTCGCGTAGGAATAACGCGCGCGGACAAGGTGATTCGATGAAAAACGATTTTTCCTCTCGCGAGCGCAGCCTTATCTTCGACCCCGTGACTTTCGATCGCTCGCCCGCCCCCTTTCGCCGGATCTGGGGTAAAAATTATCATAACTCGACATCTTTACGGAGGGAGTCTCTCCTTTAAAAGTGTCTCTCGGTTCGAGATATTCGCCCTAAAGCGAACCTCGATACGAGTCACCCTCTTGCGGACCGCTGCCTGACGAATTTTCCCAGGCTTTTATTCGTTTCTGAAGATTCAATACTTTGCCGTGTTACCATTTTTATGCTATACCTCGGGCGGCCTTCGAGATTAAGGCTGTCCTAACACCTAAGCGACGCGACGGTGACGCTATCCAAAAATTGAATCCGTCGCTGGATGCGGTGCGAATACAACGTCGAATGTTTGATGCATATGCATACGGACGATCGTCGATCGATCATTTTTCCGATCGAGTGACCACACGGCGAGCCAGAATCGAACGTTGGCTGGCCAGAAAAGTTAACAGTCAAAAATGACTGTTACACCAAGCCCAAATAAAAGTTTTGACGTTGATTTAACAAACACGCGAAATTCGATTGTTTGAAAATTCAAACATTAAAGGAACGTCGAGCAGCAGTTTGGCTGATTCGTTTAACGGTATTCAAACAGTCGAAAGTACAAGTTTCATCAGTCTCAAAGTTCGAAACCTTCGATCACCGGAGTTAGTCCAATCGATTCCAAGATGCTCTTGAAAAGTAGCGGACGAAGGCAGTGGTGCGAAAAAACTAACGAGAATTTTTTCGTCCCCCCCCCGTAAATTTGCACGAGCTTTCCGCGAGTTTGCAGATACACCCAAGTAAGTCTGAAAAAAAAGGCGTTGCCGTGTCATTTTTTTAAATTTACTGCAAACTTTATTACAAAAGACAAGTCATAAAAAGAGTCGAGGAAACATTTTCCTGAATTTATTTTTGAAATGTCTTTAATTAACGCGGTAGAGGGTATGCGATGTAACGTAAAATATGACCCAACAAAATTACAAAGACGATTTTAACACCGACACGACATAATTAATGCTTTCGAGCACGGTTTGGCGCCATAATGCGTTGTACGCAACAAAGAAACTCGTGTCTATAAAGAAGCATAATAAAAAACGTTGACTCTATGGTACTTTGAAAATGTTTCGAGCCGAGTTCGTTGGTTGATAAATAACCTTACTTTTTTAAAATAATTTCAAACATCGATTAAACGATTTCCATTAATAATTGGAGCTACGTTCGGCGCGATAAAGTGAAAATAATTAGATGATTAATAAACTCGGCACCGATTTCATTTTCTCCAAAATTGATACGTAACTCAGGTAATACAAATTTCGCCATCAAACGATTTTCGAGTAAATTGGAACGTTAAAATGTTCGATTAATATGCAACAAATACATACGTATATACGTATAAACGTGCAATATTAATCGTACACCGTATCCTATAGCGTATGCGATATAGCGAGGTCGTAAATTCTTTTCGATATTGAAATAGACATCAACTGTCGAATGAAGCTAAGTAACGTAAACAGATGAAGATAAGGACTCGGGCCTGCAGAAAGAAATCTTTCGTCCGGTATCAATGTATCTACATGTATTTACTATACGGTACGTGAAATCCATGTTTCGATGTCCGAAGGAATTTACGACCTCTGTATATCGTGAAGGCTATAGTTCTTTTGCTGTGAGAAGAATATGTCTAGAAGAGGCACCGGACAGTACCGTTATCCCGGGACTTTAAAAGGTACAATGGAGACCAAAAGGAGATTTACTAAGAGTCGACGGGAACCGAAGAATAAGAACTCGGCCTTTTTGTCGACGTTTCGCCGACAAGGCTTTTCCATTGGTTGCCTGGTTTCGGTATCTCCGGGAGAACGCAGCGTGCTTTGCACACGCCGGATCTAATTGAAGGAAGAAGAAACTACTTGTCTTTATTGTTTGCGATCTTCGTTCCGTGCGATCCCGCGACACTGCACGCCACTTTGTTTCCTCTTCCGCTGTTCCTGCGATCCTGTGCCCGTAGAAACAGAATCGTCACTGACACGATTAATCTACCAATTACAATGGAACAACCAGCCAATTCGGTGTGGCGCAGTGTTTGTTAATCGTTTCCCCGTAGCTCGCAAGAAAATGGATCCGAAACGAATCAAGGGAACAATCGCGTCGACCATAATTCACCGAGTATTCAGGAAGCGTCTCGTAATGCACGGTGCAGCCCGAAAATAAAGGGATCTTCTCGGGGAAAAAAATTAGTTGAAAATTCGGAGTAGAGATTTTTTGGTACGAGCTTCTATTTCCCAGAAAATCGATTCTACTCGAGTCCTGATACAAATATCTACTGCATCGTTTGATTTCACAAATTAAACGCATAAAGATTCTTCTTGGAAATACATTTTTTCCAAGTTTTTCTAACAAATCTGCTGATTTTGGCTTTAATCGTTACTAAATCTCCCGTTTCCCGAGATCTCGGGGACAGAAACAAAAACAACGGTATCCGATAGTGAGACTTCGCCACGAGTTTCCTTGACAACATGCTCCAAGTATCAGCGTAATCTTGCCGATCTACCGGATTAATAGTGTAGAAGATCTT